TGGAAATAATTAAGAGCTTACCCTTCATGGGTTGTTTTCTTTTACTGTCACAAGGGATGGGAGGATAAACAACTCCTCTTGGCTCCTGAGTGGTGACTGTAACATAAGAGAAAAATGCACTGTTTTTCCATGGACTGTATCAAAGCTGTGGATGTACTGTATTTAATATATGCATTCTATTTCTAATTAAACCAACATTTTTAAGTTACAAGATTGCACACAAAATCTAGAATTCTGGCTTCTCTTTGAAAGTCACAACTGGCAGCATTCAACTCACAGTTCAGAAGGGCAGTACTAGCCAACAAGGTGGAACAGCAGCCCCACGTAGGGGGCAAGCACTGCCCAGTTCACCGCTGCACCCCTACACCCACTCCCAGTCCCTGGCCCCCTGCCAGAATTCTGATCACCTGGAGCACATTCCCAGACACAGCTCCTACCTGCCTGTCACCTCTCTCTGACACCTGTCTCCATCCCTCCTACAAGTACACCTCTGCGCTTACCTACGATAGGGCGAAGGTAATGGCTGAGGCTTTCCAGTGCCTGCGGAGGCAGAGAATTGATATATTCCGCTGGGGGAATGCTGGGGACTGCCTGGTTAACCCAGCTGTGCCCTGGGGCAAGAGGATCGACATCCAGAGAGCTCTGTAGCAGGTGAGGCCAGCAATGGCTGCCTGTCCTAGGGTAGCCTTGTAGGGGATTTCGACATCAGTTTTGGTGTGATACAGCTATTGAAAAGAAAAGGTAGATCATGCTTCAGGTTTGGACAATCACTGCATTGTGTTTGTGGCTCTGTGTATATAAGTGTTCATGTAGGAATTAAGGCAACAAAAGAAAAACAAAAATACCCAAATTGTATGGTCTAGTAATTTCTAATAGCATGAAAGCTCCATTTCCTGCTTAGAGACTATGCTAAAAAAGGGAAGCTTTTCTGTATTTGGAAAGGGGACTTGAGATGCACAGGGATGAAACTGAACCATTTCAGCAGCCTCCTGGAGACTGCCCGCTTTCCCTGATTTTCTGGATTTCTTCATCACCTTTGCTCCTTGCACGTTTCATGTGGGAACCCTGAAAATTCCTAAGTACTTCTGATCCTATTTTCTTGCTTCTCAGCATTGCAATCAATTTTGTTTGCACTTAAGAACAGTCAAGGGCAGGGACAGAAAATGGCCATGCTCACTCCAATCAATTGTCTATGCAAAATATTCTTTGCCTGAATCCAGATTCAACAGAAAAGAATATAAATATTCAATTAGCGATATGTCTGCTGTGGAAGCAGGATGAGGCAGTGGTACACGTGGGCCATGTATTTAGCATCCCTGGGTTAGAAGATTCTGGGGGCTTGCCTTCTGCTTTATCACTCTCAAAACTCCTAGAAATCTCCTGAAGTCCCCAGAAGTCTCTAGAAGGGCCTTGAGCCCAGGCTATGAGTAGCAAACTGGCTGATGGGTAGCACCCTATGATGCCTCTGGTGC